CCCCCCTCCCCAGCCCCACTGGATCCCCCCACATTCATAGCAGGCTTTTGCCCTGGCTTCTGGCCTTCCTCTCCACCTCAGGTCCTGCCTGGGTGGGTTCCACGCTCACACGACCACCATTTGAAACCTGGGCCCCCAGGTCCTTGGCCTCTTCATATCCAATGAGCAACTCCCTGCCAATTGGCTCCTCATTCCCAAGGGTGCCTCAGGACTTGTTATTGCCCAAACCTGCCCCAAACCCACTCAGCCCTTCTCTCTGACCACATTCCCACCCTTCCAGGTGACACTTTCACTATAGTTGCTGCACCTTTTTTTAAACCTCAGTGTGCCCTCAGCTCATTTTAACAGCCTTCTCCCATTGCTCCCGGCTCTTCATGTCCCCACCCATCCATTTACAGTGTATGGTCAGGGCTGCAATAACGCCCTCGTCCAAACCCCAAACTCTTACTCCTCTTTTGTTGCTGCCTTTCCCCCTTCACTCTTCTCTGTCAAAGATGCAGCCCTTGATCATTTGGGTTTTGTGAGGAACCACCACCAATGATGCTGCAGGAGAGCCCAGGGCTTGGGGGAGTCCAGTCTCAGCTGTTATAGGTGGTAAAGAAACGTTCTTTGAAGAAGCAAAGAACGTGGATGAATTTGGGAAAAACAATGGAGGATTTTGTGAATCATGGTTTGAAGGAAGGAGCACAGGGATAAAGGAAGATAGGAACTACAGAACATTACGGGGCTCGGAGGGGAAACCAGAACTGACCAGGGGAGGTCTTACTTTGGGCAGCAACTGGACTGATTTATCTGGCCACAAGTTGAAGCAGCTAAAAAAAACCCCAGTTATCTTCGGAAGATGGTGGAAATTCAAGCCACTTCCTGTTTATTTGCTGCCTGGAAGGGGGAGGATGGCCAGGGCCAGGGACTTGAATTTGGGCTTTCTTTTGCCTTGGTGCTGTTAGAGGGCAGAGGAGAGCAAACAGCTACAAATGAATGGAATGTGACCTTGGCTGCTGCCAGTCCTACTCTAGTGTCCACTAGAATTAAATTTGCTTTCTTCCCAGTGGTCATCTCAGCTGATGAAACCAGATGCCGAAGACTCTGCGGTGCTCTGTGATCTCCCCAGCCTGATTCTGACCTCGTGGGCCCAGCAGATTTTGAAGATTCTGCATACTTTGCCTCCAGTTATCATCAGAGTTTGTTACATAATACCTTATCTCCTCCTGAATGCCTTTCCAGACCTCCATGTTCCCACAGCCCCCATGCTTCTTTCTGTAATAGCACTTTGATATAAAAGGATACTTGTCACATCTGAGCAAGGATAGGTCCCAGCTTCAGGTGGCCTCTGCTGTGTCAGGAACCCGTCCAAGAACCCCAACACGTCCTTCTACACAGCTGTCCGTGACCTAACATCTGAATAGCCAGGAAAATGGACAGAGAGCCTGAGGTTCATGAGGGACATATGGATCGATGATAAAATATTCTGGCAACCCTAGCCAGACTCAATTTGGCATTATACAGCCCTGTAAGACTGCCTCTCAGCATGGCTCCTTATCATTCTTTGCTTGGAAAATGCAAGACTCAACTGCTTCTCCAATTGCTAGCAAGCCAGGAGGACAGACTTCAGGTGCTGGGGAAATTGGAAATGGATGGCTGCATTTCAGTTGTTATTGAAATCACAAGGAAGAGGAATTGAAGTTAGTGAAAATAATTTAGGACAACAGTTCTCAAACTTTTGGGTGTGTAAGAAAGCACTTCTGACCACTTAATTTATAGTACAGTGAACAATATGCAGCCATTAAAGAGAATGCAGATCCAGATGTTTAGACAGGGCTAACTTTCAAACTATAGTTTTAGGTGGAAAAATATCAAAGGACATTCACAGGTTAAGTGTGTTTCTACTTTAAGGTTAGAGTTATATACGTTCAAACACACATCCCATTAGGAAGGATACACAAGACACTGGTAGATGGCTGTCTTCCTGAAGGGGACCTGGGAAGCTAGGGAGAAGGGAGGATCAATTTCTTTTGAATTTTGTGCCATTTGTTTTATTTACCTCTTTCAAAAATAAACCAGTAAATGCAATGTGGTATCCGGAAACAGAGAAAAGGCATTGTGAAGAAAGACAGTGAAGTAAGAATACAGCACAGTCTAGTCAATAGTTCTGTACCAGCGTTCACGCCCTTGTTACAGCGAATGCACCCAACGTGGCTTTCTTTGTTGTTCTCTCCTGCTTCCCTACTCCTCACCCTGCTACCAGAACGCGGGCATTTCCTCATATTGTTCCCTGTGCGAGGGATGTCCCTCATCTCTCCTTGTCCTTGGAAGCTGGATCCATCCTTCAAGGCCAAGTTCACCAGTTACTTGCTCTGAAATGCTCTCCTTGCCTCCCCCTCTCAGTGCTCTAAGGCACGGTACCTAGCTTGTGACACATGGTTTTCTATTGTTTCACACTTACTTTCAGCTGGATTCCCCAGAAAGCAGACTCTTAAGGTGAAAGTTAAGAGTGCAGGTAAATTCTACGGGACGCAGAGCCTGTGGAAACGGAGGGCTGACTGTACCATGCCATCTTATATAAAGAACCGGGGCATCCCTGGATTTTGGTATCTATGGCAAGGCGGGGTCCTGGAACCAGTCCCCCAGGGGTACTGAGGGACAACTCCATGGTGGTTCCTCAGCCAGTTTCCACAGCAGCAGGCAGAGATAAACCATCCCCATGATTCAAGGCTGACTGAGAGCATCAAAAAACGTAAGAAATTCATCTCCCAGTTGGCAATGATACTCAAGGAAAAAATTTCATTTCTTTTTTTGGGGGGCGGGTGAATTAGGCTTATTGAATTTTTTTTCAAAAATAGAGGTACTGGGGATTGAACCCAGGACCTCGTCCACACAAAGCACACACTCTACCTTGAGCTATACCCTCCCATCCCCAAATTTCACTCTTAGACAATTTCTTAGTCAATAACTTTTTACTTTTGTCTTTTCAAGCAAATGATACTTTTATTAACATGGTAAAATTTTTTTTAAACACATGGTAGGGTTTTGACCTCAAATAGTCGTCAGGTCTGCTACTGATATGAACTTATAGCTATACAACTTACGAATCTTGAAGTTAACCTAGTCCCTGTCCAGTTTAGGGTCCAAAACAGACAGCCCTCACTTTACTTCCCTAGACCCTCAAGGGCCTTTGCAAACATCGCTTTCATGTTATGCACAGAATCCCCTGAAATGCATTAGGGCATTACATCAATTATACAGAATACCAAGACCTATCTCATCTCTTATTATAGGTTCCATAAAGCTGAGTTAGGTTGTCCAAACAAAACTGACCAGACAGGTTACATCAGACAGTGTGGTGCATAAGACTTGAATTTTGAACAAAATACACCTCTCCTCCTTTGGTCTCACACAGAAATTAAAGTTCCAGGACAATACCATCCTCCATCCCTTCTTCTGATCCGCCAGTCTGAGCCACATCAGCCCCATTCACGTTCCCAGTTGAAGTCTGGTCACTTCTTCAGCTTCTTTAGCAAGTGCTGCATGGAGTCGTCTTCTAGAAATAATGCAGCTCCTTCAGCACCTCCAGAGCTGGAGAACTCCAACTCCGAGTCTCGTCTTTCATACACTGATCCAAAGTCCCAGGGAGCAATCAGGTCACACGAGAAAGAGCAAAGCACCTCAAAAATTTAAAAACAAGAAAGCCAAGGAACAAATGTGACTGCTGCAAAAGCTTACAATCTAGGCCCCAATTCTTGCACGTGAGAGCATTTTCCAAATAAAAGTTACCTCCCCAAACAAAAACATTTAACAGTCAAAACTCATATTGAGGTCATTAACCGCAGACCATAGCAGAAACGTAGTGTAAGTGAGGACAGAGTGCACACAGAGAAAAAAGGAAACAAAAGGCTCTCTGGTTTCAGCTTCTCCAGGTTGTCAGCCAATCTCCGCCAGGTGACCAGAATCCATTGGCTGTAAACCTAAAGTGCAGTTGGGAGAAACTCATCATTAAGATGTTACTCCTAAGGGAAAAACCAACCCCAACCCCTCACACATTCAGCTACGCAGGACACCACCTCTTCTGGATGCCACCTGACTCCTTCTAGCTTTTCAGAGAAATCTGGAATCATCCAACTATTTTGTATTTCTTAACCCCTCCCCCCGCCCCGCTCCTTGCTCAATGGCTTAGATTGTGACTTTGTTCCCTTGGCGACTTTTGTGTATTACCCTTTAATTACTCTTATTAACCGCTACCTTAGGTTTCAACCAAATACGTACTAAGTCAAAATACACCGATTTTCCCCCTAACAGACTTAAAAAGATAAACAGCATCTACTAACACCTCCTAAGGTAAAAATTGAGCATAATGTTTTATCTTCTCCCAACTTCCACCCACCGTGGACCACTACTAAATAAAAGTCCCCGAAGCTTAACCAAGTGTGAGGCAACTACCGGGCCCTCCGCCCGGTTCCCGCCGGTCTCCGCCTTACCGCCGACCCTCCTCAGGACGACTCGCTTTTCTCTATCCGCCGGACCAGCTGCACCAGCATCTCTGCCATCTTCGCGATCTCCTTGGCCTTCTCCTCGGCCTTCTCGCACCTTTTGGTCACTCTGCCCTCGACGCCGTCGTTCGGATTCTGAAGATGATTGAGCGCGCTCTCCTCCGAGGCCTCCACCTGCGTCTTGATCTGGATGAGCATATTGTCCATCTCCCACAACTTGCTCCGGTTCCGCATGTAGGCTCTCCCGTGCTCCCGCGTGAGCGCCGCGATGTCCTCCCGCATCTCGTTGATGACCGGGAGCAGGAACTGCTCGAAGTCCTCCTCGGGCTCCAGCACTTCCACCTCCTCCGGCTCTGCCAGCTCGACGATGTCCAAGGGCCGCATTTCCCCCCCGCTATTCCGGAACCGCAGTATCGAAATCGGCTGCAGAGAGAAAATGGAGACTCGCTATGCTTACCAATACACTTCCAGAATATTCTTTTAAAACTTTTACCCCTTTTAAACTTTTCGCCTCAGAGAAGCCACGGAAACAAGCGACTTACAAGCTGAGAAGCGGAGGACAAAATGGAGTCCCAGCCGTCAACCAGCGCCCTGAGTGTTGCGGCCCCTTTCACGACATGGCCCTGCCTCTTTACGGTCACGCCGCTAGTAGAATTAGGTGAGGGCGCGCGCACGTCAATGGAGGGCGACGCAATCCGCTTTACGGCGGCCGCGCGCGCGCGCACGCGCGCTCTCTCATTTCCCCGCTCCGTACCCAGTGCTGCGCCTGCCCGCTGCCCCGCGCACGCGCACGCGCTCTCCCTCGTTCTCCCGCCCCCTCCCCCAGTGCTGCCCTCGTCTGCTGCCGTGGCTTTGGAGATAATCCTTCCTGGTGCTGCGACCCCTCCTAGGTTTATCCAACATGGAATTTACGTCTTATAAAAAAGTAAACATTCTCCGCCTACGCTAAACGCAGAAGATCCTACGTGATAATATACTCACAGTCCGTGACATCCCAGTCTAACGCTAATAGCCCCACCCAATTTGGTACCGCGACTGGACCCCTCCGAAACGTCTAACTGGCTAATTTTCATTTTTTTTTTAGATTACAGTCAGAAGTGTATGTCTTTTCACCAGACTGACCCTCCCCCCACCCCCGGGTAAAAGTCCTGCTCTGATTTATCCTGAGGCTCGGCTGGATAGTCTTCACGCTTTTTACCGGGTTGAAGGCTCCTTGAGGGTCTTGTTCGTCTCTGTTTCTAAAGCCTGGAGCAGAACTTGGCATGTATTCGTAAATTTGCTTTGACATTCACTTAATACAAAAAGGAAAGGTAAGGTAATTTCGTAGCCTGTTGACACAGTTACAAAAAGCAATAAAAATTTCAAGAATCCAGTTTGCACGAGTGCCATAGGTTTAGCTTCTGTTTTCCAGTCAGTTAAGTGGACACAACCCCTAGTATTGAATATGGCAGAGTTAAGAGTGAAGAGAGACAATGATCATGCAGATGATTTGTAAACACCAGGCACAGACATATGTAAAGTGCTTATCTTTTGTTTGGACTTTCACGCTTCTATATATTTGGTTGTTCTTGTAAAAATCCCAATTGTGGGGCCTTCTTGGTATATCAGAGGCAGATAGCTCATAAATTCCTTGTATGAATAAAAAGAAATGGATCAAATAACGAGATGCCACTACTACACAATTGTTAAAATGGCTAAAATTCAGAACACCGACAACACCAGAGCTGGTGAGGATGTGGAGCAACAGGAACTCTAATTTGTTGCTGATGGGAATGCAAAACAGTGTAGTCGCTTTGGAACACAGTGTGGCAGTTTCTCACAAAACTAAACATGCTGTTACTATACCATACAGCAATGGGCGCTCTGCTACTTACGCAAATGTATTGGAAACTTATATCCACACGAAAACCTGCACATGGATGTTTACAGCAGCTTTATTCATACTTGCCAAAACTTGAAAGCAATCAAGATATCCTTCAAAAGGTGACTGGAAAAATAATGCGGGTATACCCTGGCAATGGAACATCACTCAGCGGTAAAAAGAAATGAGCTATCAAGCCACGGAAAGACATAGAGGAAACGCAAATGCGTACTACTAAGTGAAAGAAGCAATCTGAAATGCTATGTACTGTATGATTCCAACTCTATGACATTCTGGAAAAGACAAAACTATGGAGACAGTGAAAAGACCATTAGTTGCCAAGGGTTGGAGGCTGGGAGTAATGAATAGATGGAGCACAGAGGACTTCTTAGGGCAGTGAAACTTACACTATTTGATACTCTAATGGTGGATACATGCCATTATGCATTTGTCCAAACCCATAGAATGTACAACATCAGGAGTAAACGCTAATGTAAACTATGGACTTTGGATGATAATGATGTTATAATGCAGGTTCGTTGACTGTAACAAAAGTTCCACTCTGATGGGGCATGTACATAGTGGGGGAGACTCTGCAGGTGTGGGGCAGCGGGTATATGAGAACTTTCCGTACTTCCTGCTCAATTTTGCTGCGAACCTAAAATTGCTCTAAAAAAATAAAGTCTATTTGAAAGGGGAGGAAAAAAGTAAATGCCTCTTACCAGGTGGATGAATTGAAAAACACTGTCTGTTTTCTACGATGAGATTAGACTGGGCGCCTCTCAGCCAGGTGCTTCTGTGCGGGGCCTGATCTCAGGCATTTCTTCGTTTTCTCTTTTATTAATTTCTGTTCTTACTTATCTCCTTCCTTGTGCTTTCTTTGGTTGATTCTACGTTCCTTTTTTAACTTCTTAGGTTATTCTCCTGACTTATACTTTTCTTCTTCTTTTTAATATAAGCATTTAAGTTTTTAATTCCCATCAACGAGAAAACTCAGGGTAGATATTTTTGGTAAAACTTTGGTTTCAGTTACATGCATATAATATATATGTGTGTGTGTATTGGATTGTGATGTAAAGTGTATTTTTTAGGTCAAAAAAGTTTGCAAGCCACTGTAGTTAAGTTACACTGGCAAATAAAAGCAAAAATTAATCTCAAAAAAAATTCCCATCAGGAATGGCTTTAGCTGCATCCCACTTTTGATATTTATGTTTTCAGTATTATTTGATTCTAAACATATTCTTATTTCCACTATGTTTTTTTTTGATCCATAAATTATTAGAATTATATTTTAAGAATTCCAACCACATGAGGGCTATGATGCTCTGCTTTTACTGATTGTTAACTTAGTTGCATTCTACTTACAAATGGAGTTCTATTTGATACTAATTCTTTGAAATTTGTTAAGACTTGCTTTATGGCCTGGTCAGTTTTAGTGAATTTTGCATGTGTGCTTGAATAGACAAAGCATTATCCAGTTGTTGCCAGCAGGGTTATGTACATGTCCACCAACTCCTGTCTCTGCCACTGCAGTAGCTTCCTGGTTTTGCCCTCGTTTCCCTACAGTCTAATCTCTACACAGCTTCCGTAGGTGTCCTTGAAAACACACAGCAGATCACGTCACTGAATGGATTCAGAACCTTGTACATTTCAAGTGGAGGGGAAGCCAAAGACCTTACAATGGTCTGTGTGATTCTAGGGATCTGTGCACCCCCATACCTCTCTGCAGGGTTGGCAACTGCATGACCCTGAGAGTGAGTGCCTACCCTAGGCATCTAGATGCCCAACTTGCCTCACCTTAGTCTTGACCCTGCCCTTCTGACCACATCTTCCACTATATCCCCCTCACTTCCTCCACTCCAGCTGTATCAGCCGCCATGCTGTTTCTGGTACATATTAGGTAACTTCCCACTTCAAGGCCTTTGCATTTCTGTTTCCTTTGCTTGAAATGCTCTTCTCCCAGGTGTAAACGTGAAGCTCTGCTCTGGCCTTCTTAAGATCTTGGATCATTTGCAGAATGAATGAAACTCAAGCTTGTTCATATTTTCTGTAACCCTGTTAAATTGTTGTCTGCTTGACCTGTTCATTATCTCATTATGCTGATAATTTTGTTAACTTTTCCTGTAATTGTCACTTTTTTTGCACACACATATAACATACATTGGTAGCTATTTTATTCAGTGCACAGGAGTTACATACTTTATATATATATGTATACACACACACACGTATAATACATATATATATATTCTAAACTTTTTATCACTCAGAGTTTCAGTAAGCTTTATTTGGTTCTTTTTACCATGTCTGCCTGGCTGACTTTTTGTTTTACTAAGGTAATATTTTTCATAAATTCTCATTGCACCTTTTTTTTTCCACATTTAAATTCTCTGGAATTGTGCTGCATCTTTCAGTTGCCATGACATAAACCATTGATTCATACTTTAATTGTAGTGTAGTCTCATTCTTAGCATTATCTAAAACAACAGCAAATCTTAAAATTGATAGCTGCTTAGATTTGACAAAATCCCATATTATTTCAAAATTTTCCTGTTGTTTGCTGCTTGCTCAGTTATCTAATTTTCTTGCGTAGTATCATCTTGGACCCTCCTCTAGGAGAGGATGTTCTCAACTGGAGGTAATTTTATCCCCTAGGGTATATATTTGGCGATGTCTGGAGGCATTCTTATTGTCACAGCTTGGAGGGGAAGGTTGCTACTGGCATTGTAGTGAGTAGAGGCCAGGAATGTTGCTAACATTGCCTGGTTAATTTGGATAGTATTTTGTTCCTTACTTTTTTTCCCCTTCAATTACCTTCCATTTCTTTAAATATTTCATAAATAGTCATTTTATACTCTGTGTCTGATAATTCTAATATCATTTGCTTTTCGCTTTTGCTGATTCACTCATGATGCTTTGTTTCCTTTGTGTGTGTGTGTGTGTGTGTGTGTGTGTGTGTATGTGTGTGTATAATGTTTGGCCAAACTTAATCTGAGGGAACCCTAGCAGGCTTGGTTGAGAAAGCTTCTCCAGCAGGGATTTGTGGTGGTTTCTGTGTGGCTCAAACCCCCTGACCAGGTTGAGAGCAATTTCATACTTACAGAGTCAAAGGATTTAACAAAAATCTTGAATGTGTATTTTTATTAATTTTGAGACAGGCTGGGCCCTGGGCCCTTGGACCCTGGGCTACAATGCTTGCACCAGGACCGAGCACCAGAATACAAAGAAACTGTACGGGAATAAAAATAACTATAAGCGCAATTGGGGCAAGTTATGAACAAGATACAAAAAGACCAAAATCCCAGCTGCCAGTCTGAGGTGATCCTCTGGCCCAGCACCTGGATCCATCCCTACCCTCACCCCATTTAAGAGACCAGGCCCTCCCCCTCAGGGAGCTAGCAAGGCAACCTGTTACTTGTTTTCCCTCCCTCATGGTCAGCAACAGTTTTTTTTTTTTCCCACCAGAAACCATAGCCAGAACACACAGACTAGATTCCTTTTGGTACCTCTACACAGGTTAGAACATTTTCAGTGACAGGGTAGGCAGAGCCTGTCCAAGACCTAGTCTCCCATCCTTTGTGTTTCTTCTGTTTGTAACTCTGGATTTGACCTTTGTTCACCTATCTGGTTTTAGTGTTCAGTTCCCTCCTAGCCCCCCTTAGGGACTTCATTTGCATTCTTGCAAGCTCTGCAATGTATTTGTTTATTTATTCATTTATCAACTTAAAAATTGATTTACAATGTTGTGTTAGTTTCAGGTGTACAGTGAAGTGATTCAGTTATATATATATATACATATATATATTTCAGATTCCTTTCTATTATAGGTTATTACAAGATATTGAATATAGTTCCACGTGCTACACAGTAGGTCCTTGTTATTTATCTATTTTATATACAGTAGTTAGTATCTGCGAATCCCGAAATGCCAATTTATCCCTCAACCTCCCTTTCCCCCCAGGTAACCATAGTTTGTTTTCTATGTCTGTGAGTCCATTTGTGTTTTGTGAATAAGTTCATTTGTGTCTTTTTTTTTTTGGATTCCACATGTAAGTGATATATGATATTTTCCTTTCTCTTTCTGGGTTACTTCACTTAGAATGGCAATCTCCAGGTCTATCCATGTTTCTGCAAATGGAATTATTTTCTTCTTGTCTTTAATGGCTGAGTAGCACATATATACCTCAACTTCTTTATGAAATCATCTGCTGATGGACATTCAGGTTGCTTTCACGTCTTGGCTATTGTAAATAGTGTGGTTATGAACATTGGGGTGCATTTATCTTTTCTAATTAGAGTTTCCTGCAGATATATGCCCAGAAGTGGGATTCCTGGATCATATGGTAAATCTATAAGTTGTCTTTTCATTTTGTTTATGGTTTCCTTTGCTCTGCAAAAGCTTATAAGTTTAACTAGTTCCCATCTGTTTATCTTTGCTTTTATTTCTATTGCCTTGGTAGACTGACCTAAGAAAATACTGTTACGATTTGTCAGAGAATTTTTTGCCTGTGTTCTCTTGTAGGAGTTTTATGGTGTCATGTCTTACATCTAAGTCTTCAAGCCATTTTTCAGTTTATTTTTGTTTATGGTATGAGAGAGTATTCTAACTTCATTGATTTACATGCAGCTGTCCAACTTTCCCAACACCAGGTGCTGAAGAGACTGTCTTTTCTCCACTCTATATTCTTGCTTCCTTCATTAAAGACTAATTGACCATAGGTGTATGGGTTTATTTTGGGGCTCTCTATTCTGTTCTGTTGATCCATATGTCTGTTTTTGTGCCAATATCATGTTGTTTTGATCACTATAGTTTTGTAGTATTGTCTGAAGTCTGAGAGGGTTATTCATCCAGCTTCATTCTTTCTCTTCAATATTGCTTTGGCAATTCTGGGTCTTTTGTGAGTCCATATAAATTTTAGGATTATTTGTTCCAGTTCTGTGAAAAATGTGCTGGGTAATTTGATAGGGATCGCAGTAAATCTGTAGACTGCTTTGGGTAGTGTGGCCATTTTAACAATGTTAATTCTTCCAATCCCAGGGCATGGAATATCTTTCCATTTCTTTAAATCATCTTTAATTTCCTTAATCAAAATTTTATAGTTCTCCACGTATAAGTCTTTCACTTCCTTGATCAGGTTTACTCTTAAGTATTTTGTTTTTTTTTCTTTCTCTGATGAAACCTTAAAAGGGATTGGTTTTTCTTTTTTACTTTTTTCCTGATATTTAATTGTTAGTGTAAAGAAATGCAACAGATTTCTATATGTTAATCTTATATCCTCCCAATTTGGTGAAGGAGCCTGGGTCTACTGTAGAAGTTTCCACTGCTGGCACATGTGAAGGGAGGAGAGCAATGCAGCCAGCCACAGCCGCCTTCTCCGCTAGTCCAGAGGGCATTGCTTGGCATCATTGTCAGTGTACTCTTGCAGGGGGAGGGGCGGGATCCAGACCTAGCAGTCTCCTTAGCTGGCTCTGAAGAGGCACAATTGCTGGTGAGTGGCTTCTGGGCAGAGGCAGGGCTGAAAGCTGAACCCATTCCCAGAGGCTGCACCACTTTGAAAGTGGGGCTGAGATTTGAGCCCAGGTCCAGGTGGCTGTGACACATTTGCTCCGCTGGTGCCTTTGTTGAATCGGTGTCTCTAGGACATACAAGCTGAGTACTGGTGTGTGGCAGGGGTGGGTCTGGCATTAACACTGGGTGTG